AAGTGGGTCGAAGCCGATTCCTACGCAAGCATAAAGGATGTTCAAGTCGAACACTTCGACTGGAAAAATATCATCTGCAGACACGGGGTCCCCTAAGAGATAGTCACCGACAATGGATCCCAGTTAATCTCAACACGCTTTGAAGCCTTCTGCGAGAAGTGGAAAATCCGTCTAAGTAAATCTACCCCAAGATACCCTCAAGGGAACGGGCAAGCCGAAGCAGCCAACAAGACGATCCTCGACGGTCTGAAAAAGAGGCTCGACGCCAAGAAAGGACGGTGGACAGACGAACTCAAAGGAGTCCTTTGGTCTCATCGGACAACTCCGCGCCGAGCCACCGGGGAAACTCCATTCGCCTTGGTCTACGAAACAGAGTGCATAATCCCCTCGGATGTGGATTTCCCAGGTATTCGACGAAGACTTCTACCAGGACAGGAGGGCTTGAACCACTTCATGATGCTAGATGAGCTCGATCTAATCAACGAAAAGCGCGACCAAGCCTTAATCCGAATCCAGAACTATCAACAAGCAACGGCGAGATACTACAACAAAAACGTTCGTAGTCGAAGATTCAAAGAAGGGGAGCTTGTCCTCCGAAAGGTCTTCCAAAACACTGCCGAGAAGAATGCAGGAAAGCTCAGGGAAAACTGGGAAGGCCCTTACAAGATTACAAAAGTTATTCGCCCAGGAGTCTACGAACTCGCGACGCTAGCTGACGAAGCGATTCCAAGATCATGGAACGCAATGCATCTAAAGAAATATTATCACTAAAGGCACAGCACGGTCAACATGAGCTACGGGACGGCTTGATCCCTGCAAAGGGTACGCAGGCAGCCCGTCCTCGGACGGGTTCAGCTGTCCCCCCTCCTAAAAAGAAATTAATTCGAATTAAATTTAGGGTTATTAATGCCTAGTATTCATTTGAAAATGACAATTGCGAGGCTTGTATACTTGGTAAACATTGCAAGTCTGTTTTTCCTAGATCATCTACAATTTATGAAAAATGCTTTGATTTAATTCATTCGGATGTTTGGACCTCTCCATGTCTGTCTAGAGAAAATCAGAAATATTTTGTTACTTTTATTGATGAGAAATCGAAATATACTTGGATCACTCTACTCCCTTCTAAGGATAGAGTTCTTGAGGCTTTCATTAACTTTCAAAGCTATGTAACTAACCATTATAATGTCAAGATTAAAATTTTAAGGTCAGATAATGGTGGTGAATACACAAGTCAAGTTTTCAAACAGTTCCTTACCAAGGAAGGCATTGTCCATCAAACGAGCTGCCCTTATACACCCCAACAAAATGGAGTAGCTGAACGGAAGAATCGACATCTTATGGAGGTGGCAAGATCCATGATGTTCCACACTAATGTGCCTAAACGTTTTAGGGGAGATGCCATGGTCACAGCATGTTACTTAATCAATCGGCTTCCAACTAAGATTCTTCATGATCTTTCACCCTTTGAGGTACTTAATAACTCTAAACCACCGATTGATTTTTACGTGTATTCGGCTGTGTTTGCTTTGTCTTGATACCAGGAGAACAAAGAAATAAGCTGGACGCTAAGAGCATCAAAGGCATGTTCATTGGCTACTCGATTAATCAAAAGGGGTACAAGTGCTATATCCCCGAGACAAGAAGGGTTATGGTCTCAAGAGACGTCAAGTTCATTGAGAGTAAGGGGTACTATGAAGAGAAGAACTGGGAAAGCCTTCGTGATCTCTCCCATTCCCCATCAGACCGTGCCGCTACATTACATATATTACTGGAAAATCTGAGAGGAGGAAATTCACAAGTTCCCGTAGCTCGTAATGAACCTCACGATCAAGGGGGAGCTGAGTCAGGGGACGGGGAAACTCTAGCTAATGCTCAAGAGACTGAGGCAGTCCAGGCAGAGCCTCACGCCACCACAGAAAGTCCAGCTGAAGCTCCTCCTGAGTCATCAACGACTACTGATCAACCAGCCCTTCGACGAAGTCAGAGGATCCGGAAAGATCCCTCAAACTGGATTAACACCAGAGTTTATTACAATAGTCAAGCTGTTGCACATCCAATCCAGGCCGTCTGTTCCTTCGCTCAGTTCCCAAGAGAACATCAAGTGTTCATCAGCTCACTGGATCAAGACGAGATTCCAAGGACATACGACGAAGCCATGCAGCATAAGGTTTGGAGAGATGCAGTGGACGCAGAAACTGATGCAATGGAGAAGAATCATACATGGGATGAAGCTGAGTTACCCAAGAAGAAGAAACCTGTTAGTTCTCGGTGGGTCTTCACTATTAAGCGCAACAGCAATGGCGAGATCGAGAGATATAAAGCTAGACTTGTAGCTCGAGGTTTCACTCAAACTCAGGGAGAAGACTATGATGATACTTTTGCTCTGGTGGCTAAACTTCATACTGTTCGCGTAGTCCTCTCCCTTGCTACCAACTTGGAGTGGGATCTTTGGCAAATGGATGTCAAAAATGCTTTTCTTCAAGGAGAACTCGAAGACGAGGTCTATATGACACCACCTCCAGGTCTTGAAACGTCTGTTGCTCCGGGAAAGGTTTTGCGACTGAGAAAAGCTATATATGGTCTTAAACAATCACCTAGAGCTTGGTATAGGAAACTCAGTGTTACTCTTCTTGATCGTGGGTTTCGCAGATCAGAAGCTGACCATACCTTATTTACCTTTCAGAGCCAAGCAGGTATTATAGTCATTCTCGTCTATGTAGATGATATTATCATCTCTGGGAATGACAAGGTAGGAATTCAGTCTACTAAATCATATCTGAAATCGGTATTTGATATTAAAGATCTCGGTGAACTAAAGTACTTCCTTGGGATCGAAGTATGTCGATCAAAAGAGGGTCTCTTCTTATCTCAAAGGAAGTACATTCTCGATCTCTTGACTGAAACAGGTACATTGGATGCTAAAGCAGCAAAGACACCTTTGGAAGAGGCATATAAGGTTCACCAACAGGGGGAGAATGTGACCACTGATGATCTGTTCGAGGACCCCAAGAAATATAGACGCCTGGTTGGTAAACTTATATACCTCACTATAACACGCCCTGACTTATGCTTTGCTGTGAATCAGGTGAGCCAGCATATGCAAGCTCCCAAGAAATCTCATTGGAAAATGGTGGATCGGATACTTAGATATCTCAAAGGAACTTCAGAACAAGGAATCTGGATGGGATGCAATGGCAACTCAGAGATTGTAGGTTACTGTGATGCAGATTGGGCTGGTGACCGAGAAGATAGAAGATCAACCACTGGCTATTGTACCTTCATTGGGGGAAATCTTGTCACCTGGAAGAGCAAGAAGCAAAAAGTTGTTTCATGTTCAAGCGCTGAAGCTGAATATAGGGCAATGAGAAGGCTTACTACTGAGTTAATGTGGCTCAAGATGCTACTCAAAGACTTGGGAATTGATACACCAGAACCTATTACTATGCATTGTGACAATCAATCAGCGATTCATATCGCTTCAAACTCGGTGTTTCATGAGAGGACAAAGCATATTGAGGTAGATTGTCACAAAGTAAGGGAACAGATGCAGCTAGGAGTGATTCTGCCATGTTATACGAAGAGATCGGATCAATTAGCTGATATCTTCACTAAGGCGGCGAGCTTGAAGACGTGTGAGTTCGTTCATGAGAAGTTGGGGGTTGTTAGTGTGGTGAGATCATAGTCCTCTAAGTGAAAGGACTCATACTCTTTTTCCCTGAGTATGTTTTATCCCATGAGGTTTTCATACTCAGGTTTTTAATGAGGTGAGTCTCGAAGCTTCCAAGCTAAACCTTCAGCTATCTTACGGTTTTGCTTGAGGGGGAGTGTGAAATAAATCGAGACTTAACAAGCATAGAACGAGGATCGCTTGTCCACCAAGAAAGATCAAGGCAAAGTCAAACCTTCTAGAAGTCATTTGAATCAACGAAGGGAAGCAAGAGTCACGTGTAGTCCTTAAGCCAATATGACCGTTGTGGAGATGTCTCTTTCAACATAGGTTGCTGTAGAAAATATCTAGCAATTGTTTATTCTTTCTGTATGTCCATATATAGCTTGTAAAGAGAAACCATTTTAGGTTAAGAAATGAGAAGTATCTCTTTCTCTATACTTTTCTATTCTCTCGCCGCCTCTCTCACTTATTCTCACATCTACTCTCTAAACTCGTCACTAATCTCTTAATACTCTTATTCCGCAATCTATTCTTCATATTCTTACACTTTTGTCTTTCTCTGAATTGCATGAATACCAGGCGTAGACCTGCAGGAGACATTCCAATTCTAGACGAGATAGACAGACACGAAAGAGAACTTCGAAGACTTAGACGAACGCAAGGAATGGCCAACGACGACCAGCCTGGAGATCCTATTAATCGAAATTTAAATATGGACCAAGACGGGTCCGAACATGGAGAAAACGAAGAGAATGACCACATAGAAGGTGATCATGCTCGACAAGATGGAGAGGAGGACGAGGTTCTTCCAAGAAACCACCAGAACCGAGAGAGAGAAGGACGTGAAGACCTTGATCCACCCATCAATGTAGCCGATGGTGACCACCCAGCAATGCAGCCGAATGAACGCATTCACCGCCCCATTCCGCCGGCAAATCAACACCGAAGACAAGCCAGGAACCATCGCATAGCTGATTTTGATGCAACTACTCAAAATTTTCAGAATCGATCTGCGATTCAAGTACCATTTCCAAACCGGAATGAGTTTGAAGTCAAGCCTCAAATCATCTCATTGGTGAAGCAAAACCAGTTCCATGGAGTTCCTTCTGAGCATCCAATGGACCATATCGAGCTCTTTGAAGAAATTTGCAGCATGATGAGAACAAACCAAGTTCCACCTGACTATTTAAAGTGTAAGTTGTTCCCTTTTTCATTAGCAGATAAAGCTCACCGTTGGTTGAAGTCTTTGCCTGCAGGATCGATTACTAATTGGGAAGAATGTAGAACTGCTTTCCTGAACCACTTCTACACTAAGTCAAGGTCGAACAATTTGAGAACGAAGATCTTAATCTTTCAACAAGGGTCAACTGAATCTTTCTATGAAGCTTGAGTACGTTTTAAGGAGTATGAACGTGATTGCCCTCATCATGGATTTCATGGATCAAGCCTGCTGAGCACATTTTACCGAGGTTTGCAACCAAAATACAAACTTTCACTTGATACAGCTAGCAATGGAGATTTTGGGCAAAAGACGATAACCCAAGGAAGAGCTCTCATCGAAAATTTGGCCCAAGCCAATAGCAATGATTGTCCTGAATATGATCGATCAATGAAGCAAGCTGGAACAGACAACAAGGAGATAACCGAATTGAAGAACATGGTGAGCCAGCTTCTGAAGAGCAACAATCGCCCGATCCATGCTTGTGAGACCAACAATGGCGCAGAAGATGAAGGACCTAGTGATATCGATCACATTAATCAAGCATTTCAAGAAGAAGATATGAACTACGTAGGAGCACTGGTGCCATACCAAAATCGCTCCAACAACAACTTCAACAACATCTTCCGGAATGCAAATTACAACAATCTCTCTTACCGCAATCCAAATGTGGAGAATCCTCAAGATCAGTACTATCCACCTCAGCAAAAATCATTCCAAAACAAGTTTCAAGGCGGAAACTTTGGAGGAATAGTACCATATCAACCGCGACAGCCATATAACTACCAAGGTACGAATTTTAATAATCAATTTGTACAACAGCAGGGAGTCACGACGAACCAGCTAGCTTCACAAATTGGTAGACTTGAACAGTCAATCCAACAACTCGTTATGACGAACGAAAAGGCATCTAAAGACATGAACGTGAAAGTGGACTGCATGTACAATGATCTGAATGGTAAGTTTGAATCCTTATCTTCGCACGTAAAAAAGTTAGATGTGCAAGTCGCCCAGACAGCCGACTCTATGAAGAGGCAAAGTGGAGTTCTTCCAGGAAGAGTTGAAGATAACCCTAAGAAGTTTTGCAACGCCATAACCACATTGCCCGAAGAAGAGTCTGGAACCGATGGAAAGAAAGAAGAAACCCCAATCTTTGTACCTCTGTACAAGGATATCGATCCCAAGCAGCCACCGTTTAAGGTACCCGAACGATCACCGTTTCAAAGGCTTACCAAAGCCGATGATCCGGGACGTTTTGTTTTCCAGTGTTTCATTTCAGGAATAAGTTTACAGACTGCTTGTGCGATTCCGGAGCCAATGTCAACATCATGTCTAAGACATTTGCCAAAAAATTGGGCATAAAAACCTTAAGGACATCGACGGTTAAGGTTATCTTTGGAGATTCATCTCAAAAAGATACTGAAGGGGCGATTCATGATCTACAAATTCTAGTGGGAGATAAGATTGTTCCAGCAGATTTCCAAGTCTTGGAGATGGATAAAGACAAGGAGAGGCCACTCATTTTCGGGAGGCCATTCCTAGCTACAGTAGGAGCAATAATCGATCACGAAAACCGGCGTGCTGTTTTCCTCAATGTGGACAGAAAAAGGTACTATCCTACTATCTTAGATGAATTTCCAAGCAAAGGAAACAGGCCAAAAGAGAAAGAAAAGGAGAAACCGAAAGCTTTTGCAAAGATCAAAATCATCATTCCACCAGATGCAACAGAAACTAGTGAGGACCAAATCCAGGAGCTGATCGAAAACACAAAAAAGGGTTCTGAACAACATTAAGGTCCGAAAGAAGATTAAAGGTAAGAAGACTTCTCTTCAAGGGGAAGAAGTAAGACCTCCACCAACCGGAAGTGATAAAGGAACATCAAGTGGAGTGCCATTCAAATCAGCCTGATTCCTCATGCTTACGTCGAGCTAAACAACTTAAAACAAAAGCGCTTAATGGGAGGCAACCCATTTAGGTACTCTTTCTTTTAGTTTTCTTTTCCATTTTAGAATTTATGCTTTCTTTTTCTTTTTAAGTTTTAGGTATTTTATAAAACAAAAACACAAAAAAAAACAGAAAATTAGAAAAACCAAAGAGAAAAAGGTAGGTCTTTAGCTGCTCGGCCCGGCAAAGACGAGAAGATTGGACAATAGGCCGCAGGAGGAAGACCCGCGGTCGCAACTGACGGGACCGCGGCAAACCGTGCATCGACCACGGCACCGTGAATGCGACCGCGGCCGAGCCTTCATCAACCGCGGTCGCGCGTCTCCTGACCACGGCCGTTAGTCGTTGAGGTGGTGTCGCGGATTTGTGACGTTTTTCGGTGATTCTCGATGTTTCCCGAAATGTTCCCGGTAAAACCGAAAAGATCCTCTGTAAGTTTTAAACTTTCCTAATGTGTAAACAAGAAAAGGTAAGTTCCCATAAACTTAAAAATTTCCAGAAATTTTCCTTTTTTGCTTCAAAAACGCTTTTTAAAGAAAAGAAACAAACTTTTTGGAGCAAAACTCTTTCTTCTCTTCTTCTCCAAAAGACTTAGAGATTTAGGAGAAAGAACACATTTTTCAATTCTTAAGCTTTTTAAGAGATTTTTGGCTCAAACCTCACTCTTTTTCGAAGCTGATTTCAATTCTGCCATTAATTCTCTCTTTCCAGCAAGGTATGAACCTCAAACTCACCATTTTTACTCGATTTTGAACTTAGGGTTTTCTTTGAAAACCCAAAATCTTGGTCTATTGATGGTGGAAATAGTTTAAGGATGATAGATTATCCATTTAGGTTATCTAAAAATTGATTTTAGCACCTAGCTTAAGAGGAATTGAGATTTTTGAAATTTGGGTTCTTCATGCTTCATAAAAATCGAATTTGGAACAGCAAAATTGATGAATTTGATTTAGTCTTGTGTGATTAGTGATTAGTATTGGGTAATCTTTAGAATTCACATGGAAATTGATCATAAAAACCGATTTTTAGAAGATTTCTATGTTGAGGACATAAAAAATCCGAATTTAGTCATGAACTACTATATTTCTCTGATTTAATATCAATTTTGTTTACTTCTAGTTTTAATTAATCTCTTTATACTGGTATTAGTATAACAGATCTTAATGTGTTAAAATTAGCATCCCAAATTCACTCTTTTTCCAAGAATCATTTCATTTTGCAGAAAATGGATGAAACCAGATCCCGAAGGAGTCGTCGAACTGGTAGCAGCTCCGATGACATTCCCGACGATGCTACTCTAGGAGAGTACATGCTGAACAAGGCCAGACCGAGAAGAAGAAGCTATGTGATGAGATTGCTCCAGCACTCAAGAGAAACACGAGCACCTCCTGAACCACAACAGATTCGATACATTGGGAGGGAGACAAACCCGAGAGTGGACTATGCAAGGCGTTTCAAGAAGCTGAACATCAAACCCACGCCTTGCATTGATTATCATACACTCGAGATGCTTGGAATCAGAGAGGATGTGATCTGGTACATCGATGCACTTAAGCTGAGACCCTACTTGGAGCTGAACCTTCCGACTTATCCTGAGCTAGTCCGTGAGCTTTTAGCGACCGTTACACTCCACCACACGAAGAGGAGGAACCCCAGAGCATCAGATGGCATCTTGTCATTCTCTATCCACGGATAGCCTTATTCTCTCACCATTTCTGAGGTTTGTGAAGCTCTTAAGCTTCCATACACTGATGGCATTCATCTTGAAGATGAACCTGATCTTAACCTGTGGAGAGAGATGGGTCATGGAGCCTATGATAGTGGGAGATCTAAGTCAGCCCTTCTTAGCCACCCAGCAGTGAGAGTTGTGCACAAACTCTTAGCACACACGATTTTCTCTAGAGCTAACATGGGAGGTGTTTTGAAGACTGAGCTCATTACACTTCAGATTCCGTTTATGGATGATCCACGACTTGCTTGCTTTGCCTGGATCATAGCGCAGAATATGGTAAAGGTGAAGCATGATTTACATGGTTGCGACGACGCTACTCCAGCCTTCGGGAGTGCTATTACAGCGATACTACAGGCTGTAGGATTCGATTTCTCATCTGATGATCCACTCCTCGATGTCTGGTATGATCTACTTTATCTCTCTTGCGATCACACTATCTCTCGTGCCGCTTTCGATCCAGACAGGTTTGGTTACAAGTATTGCACTGGCACTGAGGAGCATCGAGTCCGCTTACCTTCAGCATCTATCTCGAGATTGAGTACCGGAGGACGCCCTCGATGGACTCCGGAATCCGATGATTTTCTGCCATCCGTACCTCGTCTACCATTCACCATTGGCCAATACATAGTGGCCAAGGCGAGGCGTGATGCAGCTGCGGCCCGTGCTCATTTTCAGCCATCCATTCCGACCGGCCACACCTCATCATCTACATCATCTCACACTCATTCCGATCTAGAGCGCAGAGTTGAGAGACAGGGACGACGCTTTGAGCGCGTTGTCACCTTCCTACAGGAGCAGCACCAGTTCGCAGACGACACTTCAGAGGATGAGTGATTGATCAGCACTTCACTACCATCACGGTTCTATCATAATTTTCTTTTTATTTTATCTTATTTTGATTTTATTCACCATCTTCTCACCAACTTTTTCACACTGGGGACATTGTGATTTAAGTCTGGGGGAGGATGTCTATCCGTACTAATCATTTTCCTGCTTTGCTTTTAATTTTCAAGTACTTTTTAAATTTAAGTATGTAACCTATTCGACATTAAGTATTTTTCAGGAATGTTTGACGCAAAACTATGATGATTTAGGCCTGCACACTTCTACACTATGCATGATAGCTCATTTGTGGTTAGCACTAGACTAGGCGGTAGCTAGAGTACTTGCACCACGAACTCCCACCAGAGGACTTCTATTCATGGAGATTCTTTCTGACAGGATATACTAGCTCATTTTATTTGAACTTAATATTGATATCTAATTTTCTCATCATTGATTTTAGGCAGGCATCAACATACACATCTAGGACGTCTTTTACCATCACTTTTACCACTCTTTGTCGTCCTAGATGACCTGTTTATCTTTATCTGGTACCATACCCTAAACCCAAAACCTTTGTTTTCAATCCTCATACATTCTCTCTTTAGTTTATATCAGCAGATATGTGCAAAAACGTCGGAGAGAAGAGGAGCGACGCAGTTTTCAGTCACTCACAAAGGAGACTGAATGGAATTGGGAAGGAAAAGTATCAGAAAT